TCGTTACGGTTTACGGTTAACGTTTACGTTAAGTACGTTCGGTACGACGTCGTCTCGTACAACGTACACTCTTCTCTCTCGTCTACGCTCGTTCCTTCTCCTCCTCTCTCTCTCTCTCTAACTTCCCTCTCTCCAACCTTCCTCTCTCTCTCTCTAGGTCCCCCCTCCTCTCTCTTCTGATCTCCCTCTCAATGCTCTCTCTCTCTAAAGAGGTGCCGTTTGTAAAGAGCCTGGGCTCTAAACAATCAAATTAGAGCTTACGCTCAAATAGTATCAAAAAATGTGATTTCAACATTGAAAATCTTTGTAATAGCCTCAAAATATACTTTATTTTTATTTATAAAGTTTAGTGCTTCTTGTAAATATCTATAAAAACTTTAAAATCTTGAAAATTGATGGTCCAAAAATGTATACTACAGAATATACTATTTTCAAAACTTGAATTCTATTTTTTTTTCATGTCTATACATATTGATGTTTGGATGATCAATTTAAAGATATTTGGACATCAAAACAATCTCTTCTAATGAAATTTTTGAAATAGGCTCTAATTTGATTATTTAAAACCTCGGCTCTATATAAACCCTTTCCCTCTTTAAACCCTGGTTTTCTCTCTTCTCTCTCTAAGCTCGCTCTCTCTTTTTCAAATTCAAACGAGGGAGAGGCATTGAATTTGCGCGCAATATGGAAGCCGAGATATTACCAAGTTGCCCCTCAATGAGAGAGAGAGAGGAAAATAATGACCAGGTCAAATAATCAAATTTGAGCAGATTCTCTCGCACTTGTTCCAAAGGACACCGTTGCTATCAGTCGCCTCTTAAAAACATATTTTTGAGATGAAATTTTTTGACTTAATTTTTAATAAAATTTTTATATTGAACCAAAGTTCTAAATAATTAAATTAGAGCCTATTTAAAAATTTTCATTAAAAGATGTTGTTTTGATGCCTAAATATACTTAAATTGATCATCTCGACATCAAGATGCATGAACATGATAAAAGAAATAGATTTCAAATTTTAGAAATAATGCATCTTGTAATGTATTTTTGAACTAGTTTTCAAGATTTTCAAGTTTTTATAGATTCGTTCGATCTACATTATTTTTGAAGTTTTAAATTTTATAATTAAATATTGAAATATGTCTTGAGGCAATCACAAAGATTTTTAGTATTAAAACTACATTTCTCGATACTATTTGAAGGTGCTTTTACTTTGATTGATTAAAGCCTCGGCTTTATACAAACCGTACCCTAATTTTTAAGGACATATAATCTCTGAGATAAAGATCATGAATATGAAAAAATAAAAACCCCCTTGACTCAGCTTTTTTTACAGCCTCTCCCACGAATTTTTTTATCGTAATTTTTACCCCAAAACTGATTTTTATAGCAAATACCTCCCACGTCAAAAAGTTATAGTTATTTGGACCAAAATGGCCTCTCTTTGGTCATTGAATGTTGTCGGTATGGCACTTGTAAATGCGGTTCTGCAGTTATGATGCCTCGATCCGACACTTATAAATGAAATCTGGCAAATTGTTGCTGCGCTCTGGCATTTTTGTCAGTCGGGCGCTATAGTGCCTCGGTCCGTCATAAGTTGTATGCGGTGTGGCAAATTGTTGCTATGGTCTGGCCGTTAATGTGGTATGGGTTTTGGTTTGGCATTAATATGTGTCAGACCATCTTGGGTGATTGAGCGTCTACAGAAATGTGGAGCTTTCATGTATGGGCAAGGATATTTTTGTCTTCCAAACTATGACTTTTTGACTTTGGGGGTTCTTTGATAAAAGTTAGTTTTGAGGTAAAAATTGCTATAAATAAATTGATTGAAAAGAGGTGATAAAGGAAGTTGTCAAATAAAGTTTTTATAATTTTCTCAAAAGCAAATTGAGCCCTCTACCACTCTCTTCTCTCTCTCAAGATAAATTAGAGGGGGGACCACGGGAACAAATCAAACCTTGTGAGATGGTCCCCCCCCCCCCCTCTCTCTGTCTCTCTCTTTCTCTAGATACACATTCTTGTATGTAGAAAAAATATTTCTTGAATATGGACAAAATTACAAGTCTAATACTTTATAATATAAAATAGTTTATAAAAGGTTGACATCTCAAAATGTAAAAATAAGGTACAATTCTAAAATCCTTCAAAAAAGTTGTTTTGATGTTGGAAGACATCTAATTGATCATCTCGATATCCAGATGTATAGATATAAGAGAAAACAAAAATATTAAAGTCTTAAAAATAGTACTTCTTGCAACACATTATCTAAACCTTCCGTTTTCATGATTTTTATGTATTTATATATCTGCTTGATTTGAACCATTTTTTGTGTTTAATTTTTTATAATCTGAGATAAAAAAAGCAGATCTTATACCATCTTAATAATTTTTAGCACCAAAATTGCATCCATAACCAAGTTTGGGGGTTGCCTCAATATGATCGTTTAAGGTTGCAACCTTATGCAAACCACACACCCTTTAGAATATGGGTCATTGCACTATCTATGTATATGTCACATACATTTTTATTGAAAGTAACTAACATTGAAAACCGTTCTTGAAAAATAGGATAAAATTATGAAATTAAACTTGAAAAGTGTTTGGATTTGGGTTTGGTGAAAGTTAATCACTCATATGGAAAAGTGCAATAATCAGTTTAGATGAAGAGAAACCCAACTAACAATGCATTAGAGGAAAAGCAAGAGGGGAATCAAGAGAATCAATGCACACCATAAAAAAATTAGAACGGAAAAAAAGGTAAATAAGTGGTACTCTTAAGATAATATTCATTAATTGTCTGAAAGAAAATTAATGTAGGATAAGGGTCACTATAATCATCATAGGCTTTTTTCAACTATTTGGAGTTGACTACATGAATCATGATTCTGTTAATATAGAATAAATATATTAAAAAATATATCATTGAGATATAATGAAAAAGAGAAATAAAGAAACTCTTGTTCATGCACAAGAACATTAAGAGCTGGAAGCACCAAATAATTGCTTCTTAATTTACAAATGAGGAAAGCGAAAAATGGAGAGAGAGAGAAGGAATGTGAACATGAATTTGATTTATTTGTTTTTTGAACAAGTGATAATGTTTTCATTGACTAATGAAAAGATACAACAAAAAAGATAGAAAAGAAAAAAAACAGAAAAAAGAGAACATGGAAGAAGGAAGCTGAAGAAAAAGAAAGAGACTGCCCTAAGGTAGGGAGCCTCCTCTCGCAAGCACATCATCAGCCTTTGCATTCCTCTCTGGATGGACATGAGAGAACAAAAAAAGGCGATCGCCAAGGAGAAAGGTAATGCGATCACAAATATGCATCCACCTCCAATGGGTTCTAGTAGGGAACCGACATCACCTAATTACTTTGAGAAAATCCCATTCAATGATAATTTGTTGAAAAGCAGTCCTCAGCTTAGAGACCCCTAAGAAAAGGGCCCAAAACTCCACTTCGTTAGCCGAGCAGGGATGGAGTCTGCCCTGGTAGGTCATAACTAGCAACAACTCCATTCTCTCTAACTCTACCATCGAAATTACACTTAACCTACCCTGAAGTTATTCCATCTTCGATGATGATATATTCCGTTTTCCTCTTCCATATACCAAAAATGGTTCCATTCATTTTTTCAACTCTAGAAAGTTCAGCCATTACAATTTTACTAGCTATTTGCTAAATTATGTGTGAGAAACCTAATACTTTTTAAATTCTAAATAAGCTAAACAAGGTACCAAAATTTAATATGTGGTCAATACTTGTACATGAAGAGCTGCAATTGTTTCATGAGCAATATCAGTTATTAAGTTTATTTGTCAAAAAAAAAAATCAGTTATTAAGTGATGCTTAAAAATTTGAAATAGGCAATCTCTCAATCTATAAGTAAGTACCACAATTATAGAAAATAATAAAAAACTTCCTCTTTATATTGTTTATTTGGGGTGCAAGAGCAATATCAATGGCGTGTGAGTCCTTATAATAAAAGAACAAATATCAAGTACGTGATTCACGTTAGAAGACAAATCAATTTCCATATCACACCAAAGCAGTAAGTGCATTAATTGCATTCAAATCTCAGCAATACAAAAAAAATGAGCAAAATAAGTCTTCCATTATTTTTCGTCTCCCCCTTTACTTTTTTCAAAAAAAATAGAAATATCACCAATATATAAGGCAACAAAATAGCCAAAAAAATATATTTAGAGATGCGATATATGTTCAGAGTAACTGACTAGTACTACCAATCTCATATATACATGCTTATGTATTTCCTAGGCTTTTTTCAACATAAGCTTTGATTGCAAACAATTTTTATGATAATCAACATGTTATTGCTAAATTACCCGATAGATAGAAGCTAGAAGCTACTTTACCATTAAAACTAGCATATTCAACTCGTCAATAAAAAAAAAAAAAGCATATTCAATAATGTGAACTGCTATAAGGAGGTGGCAAAGATAAACCCAAATCAACAATTTTATTCTTTCTATAAGAATAATTTCTCACCATAGAATATTTAAAGTTAAACTATTTTATCCTTTCATTGTTTTAATATCTTATTGTAAGGGCCTGTTTGATAACT